GCGCACGCCTCAGGCATGTTCAAACCAGTGCGCACGCCTCAGGCATGGTCAAAGCGGTGCGCACGCCTCAGGCATGTTCAAACCAGTGCGCACGCCTCAGGCATGGTCAAAGCGGTGCGCACGCCTCAGGCATGTTCAAACCAGTGCGCACGCCTCAGGCATGTTCAAAGGGCAATCACCACGGGCAGTATGTTGTAGGATTTCTGCTGTGTGAAGGTTTGTGCGTGAGTAAGCTACGTGTGAGTAGAATATTGCTGGAGGGTTTATGCGGTGTCTACGTATAAGTAGAATATTACTGGAGAGTTAATGCGGCGTGAAGGTCTGTGCGTGAGTAAGCTACGTGGAAGTAGACCGGGAGGAAACTGTTTTATAGGGGTCATTCATTTCGTCACAGATGTAACAGCAGCGTAAATCTCCCGTTGCTTGACGTTTCTTTGCGTGCTGACATTTCCCTGTCTGTTCTCTGTGCGCCGAGCTAGCTACCGTGTGCTATATCACAAGATCGAAAACTTTTGTTCCTTAAAGGTCACCATCAGGTCATGATGCGCCAATTTGTTATCGCTCATTTCTGATGAGTTGTCATGATCTAAGAATACCCCGCCCATCCCCCCTCACCCCCTCCCCTCCCTCTTTTTCTTCCTAGTCAATATTTCCCTGGCAGACAAAGCTGTTGGCGCTCATTGTGTCGAGGAGTGACGTATTGTTCGGGGTGGTAGTGCCGTTACAAGATCTCTCTGTCTGGCTGAGAGTGTGGTGCATTTCTTTGTCATATTTCTGGCCGGGGTGTGAACAAACAGGAGACTACAGAAGAACCAAGTCCTGTCAATACCAAATGTACGCCAGTGTAAGGGTTTTTCAAGGGTGGGGGGGGGGGCAAAATGGTTGCAGGAGAGATACGACATGTACGTTAAAATAGAAGATAAGATAAGATAAGATAGGAGGATAAGATAAGAAAATACTTTATCACCCCAGAGGGAAATTGTTCTTGTCTGTACAGGACCGTAAAAACACATGCAGGTATATATAAAACATTTAAATTATATATTACTCTCATTAAAGTTCAATATGAAAGGAGAAGTAAAGCTGACAGAATATTTATGTCCGATAAGACTCAGACGAAAGCAATGTTGCCGCACATTTCGAGCCATCAAAGACAGAGGAGAAAAACGAATTTCCATAATAAGAAAACATAATGTTGTTTTCAGACTCAGAACAGGACGCAACAGTCTGAGGCATCACATGTTCTCCCGATTCAAGATCGGTGATGGACGGACCCAACTACATCCCTTGTTGTGCCAGTCGCCAACATGGACAGCATATTATTGTCGAGGAAGGACTGCCTACTACTGGACACGCGAAGACAAAACTACCGGCCTCAACATGATCAAAAACAGATAATGAGACACACAGAAAAGCTGACATCACACGCCATTAGCTGAGAGACACACAGAAAAACTGACATCACACGTCATGAGCTGAGAGACGCACAGAAAAGCTGACACCACACGTCATGAGCTGACAGACACACAGAAAAGCTGACATCACACGTCATGAGCTGACAGACACACAGAAAAGCCGACACCACACGTCAT